GGGATCTTGGCGAGGCGCACGAAGGATATCTTGAGCGAAGGCGGGTTTGTCTAGTCAAGCGGCAGTTTCTTGCCTGGAAAACGAAATACGGAAGTGATGATTTGCGGAGGAATGATGGAGGAGAAAATAAGAATGAGGGGCACCCCAGAACCCGGGAGGGGCCAACTGTGGCCGTAGCGTTGTGTGACGCTGTGGGAGGCCCGCCACCGCCCAGGTTGCTGGCTCCTGTGTCACGTCACCGTGCAAACGTCACTGGTGCTGCTGAATTGCCGAGGCCACTTTCCCGTGCAATGAGCCGAGATCCCTAGGTAGGTAGGCACCAGCGGCGCACGTATGCCCCTCCGGGCGGACGGGCGCATCCGGGGATAATGTAGCACGATGCCCGGAAAAAAAACCGGACTGCAAATGTTTTTCCCCACCCAAACTCCACCTCTCCCAACACAATTGCACCAGCACCAAAACCGAACAATATGCCCGCGCACCATTTTACACCGAAAAGAATACGCGTTCAAGGGATTTGTAATTATTTTGATGCAAAAGCACTACTTATAGCCACAATAACGTTATTTGCTTTGCTAAATCATAGATGCAGAGGGCAAAATGACTGCAAACTAAATGGGCTCCTTTTTTTGTGGTAGTGGGGAATATATTTTGCAGTCCGGTTTTTTTTCCGGGCACCGTGTGTAGCCCATGAAGAGAAATCTTGCCTCTTGATGGCGCTCGCCACCACAGTGAGCTCTAAAGTTTCAAGCGGAGATTAAACTGGTATTTTCTGCGCTCCTGTGCAACATTAAGGCCGGTTGAACCTGTATATATCAAACCTCGAGACATACCGCTACTACAAGGCAACTGCATGGTCAAGGACTGCAAGGCATTCTAGCTGGTCGCACCAGAATTACGACTCCATCATCAAACGGTTTGGCATCGCCATCGCCAACTTCATCAAATGGAACCCAGCCGCTAAGTCAATCTGCTCGGGGCGCTGTGCGAGCACCTGGGCATGTACCAGCTTGCTGTAAGTGCACGGAGAGGTACATAACCTTGAGATGTGCGCGGCTGGATGTAACGAGGTAACTGGGGATCTTTTTGGAAACAAACGAGAAAAGAATAAATCGGCTAGGAATCATACGACTCGGAATCACTGTCGCTGGCCTCGCTCCATCCATCTGACATGACGGCCACTCTTGCGAGCAAAAGCTCGACGTCTGGCATGACGGCCCCCCTTGCGAGCAAAAGCTCGACGATGCTTGCATAACCCCTTCCTGACGCACCTTGCAAAGCACTAATACCGTATAGGCCCCCTTGGAGGCTCACATCGGCTCCTTTTTCGAGCAAAAGCTCGACCGTGTTTGTATGGTTGCACGCCGAAGCTAGTTGCAAAGCGCTGCCGTTTATCCCCCCTTGAAGGTTTACATCGGCTCCTTTTTCGAGCAGAAGCTTAACGATACTTGGCTGACCGGATCCTGACGCAGCTTGCAAAGCACTGTTAAAATAGCCCCCTTGAAGGTTTACATCGGCTCCTTTTTCGAGCAAAAGCTTGACGATGCTCGCACAGCCCGAGTACGACGCAGCATACAAAGCACTGCCGGATCTGCCGGTTTGAAAGCGGCGGATAGCCTTATCGCGGCTAAACCTTTCCCTGCTTTGTCCGTTGACGTCGGCGCCGTTTGCGAGCAGAAGTTCGACAATGGAGAGATGCCCATTCATCGATGCTGCATAAAGGGCTCTGCAAAGGACAACAGCCTGTCTGTGGACTTCGGCCGCTTCCTCACTGTGTAGCAACGCCTTGCAGGTTTTCTCAAGGCCCCACCAAGCTGCGAAGCCCAGTGGGTGATAGAACAGAGGCGTTTCCGCGTCCCAGCGAAGCCATTTGGGATAGCAGCTTTCCAGCACTGTTGTGTTGTGGATGAACTCCCACACTGTCTCGCAAACCGCGGGATCATGCTCTGCAGACCTGGCATGTTGTGCCCAAAATCGCGTTGCATAGTTACCAAAGCACAGGTCTTTGGGTGCCCAAGGGTCGTCGACAGTGAGGAGATACACCAAGCAATGCCTGGCGACAGCTCCGTTGGCATTCTTAGGTTTGAACGGTTCGCGGAATGCTTTTGCGATGTTTTCTGATGTTAGATATTCCTTCACTGACAAGTGAGCCAGCTGGAGGTATGTGATTACGGACCCGCCCCAGCTAGGAGAGGTAAAAGTGGCAACCAGGCCCCCACAAGTTGCTCGGAGCTCCCTAGGCTCTGGCAACTTGTTATCCGGGACGAAGCGGCCAGAGTTGATGTTAGTTGCAATGTAGTCGGCTGCTTCCTCGAGTTTCAGGCGCCTGTATGAGTAGCAGAGGACTTGCAGTAGGCGAATGGTCGTGTCTCTGCGTCGCCCCTCCGGGATAGCTTCCAACATTCCAGAGTATATGTCGGTTAGGGTGCTTGGTAAAGTCTCCAGTCGCTCCTGGATCTCTGGTAGATCTCGGCAGTCCGCCAGCAGGTCGACTTGACAGGCTGCCAGCCGAAACCCGCTATTATACCGTTCGGTTAGCGTGTAAGAAACCAGAATCAGTGCCACAAAAGACCGATATGACCGGCGGTATTTCGGATTTGTGGGTGACCTACGTCACACCCGCTTTGTCGAGGACGGCACTCCTCACTTTCCGTATAACATCTGGCCTTGATTTCCATCGCTGGAAGGCCTTGTCCCGGAGTCTCTCCTCGACAAACAGCTGTATGTCGCGTCTGATAAGATCCGCGGAACTCACAGCGATATCTTGCCTTTTCCAGCTCGAGAACCTGTTCTCGAACTCGGCCTCGGGTCTGCCCGTTGCGACGATAGAGATGCTAGCTGTGCCCTCAGCCGACATTTTTTCCAGCCAGTCTATTAAATCCCTCCGTGTGGTGCACTCGTCAAATGCGTCGAGAACGACCACTATTTTGCCGTCGCATGCGCCAAGCAGCTCTCGCAATGTCTCCAAAATCTCGCCGGTAGGCGGCAATGCCGACCCGCGTTTGGAAAAGTTGTAGGCATTGTCGAGAATGGTTCGCATCACCTTGGCCCTAGTGTATAGCTAAAACACAAGTGACCGCAGGAGGTGATCAAGAATCTGCTTCTTCCTATCTCTAAAGTCAAAGAAAAAGAAGAGGGTGACATGAGAATCTTGCTCCCTTGGAAGCAGCCAAGCGATGATGTTGGATGCGAAGATTGTTTTGCCACACCTGGACAGCCCTAGCAGGAGCAAGTGGCTGCCCGGGCGTGCTTCCCAGTTTCGAAATGCGGCACTTTGGAGCAACCAAGCTCCAGTCCCTTCCTGGGCTTTCTTTCTGGCATCGTTCAAATTGGTGGAAGGATTAAGGGCATTAAGCCACTCCTTAATTTTATGAAAGTGGCCATCGGACACCAGGGTGCTAATGCCTTGTTGAGCTTGGCCTATAAACGCTTCGACTGGGAGATATGCGTATTATATTAGCTCAGCTGCGTGGCTAGCTGCACCCCACGCTGGGAATAAAAATTGACTGATTGGTATGCAGAATTTCCAGGGCTTTTTGTGTTTTCTCGACCTCTGCTACCGGAACAAAGGATAGGAATTCCTTTGCATAGGCGGCGGCCGTGGCAGAAGTATACCTCTGCCAGCGGTCGTTTTTGTGGGTATCGGCGTAATCGCAGATGCCGCGGATCACGAGACAGGGAAAGCGGTTCATCAACCCTGCCGCCTCCGTCTCGAGGCAGAGGCAATCTTCTCCGGCGTCACCGGCGATTTGGTCGCGTAGAGTGGCGTCTTTGACGAGCGTGTTCCCGGATGCGATAACACCGTAGTGAATTTCGGGCACTTGTGCGTCTCGCTCATCCCTATCGACTTTTTGGGCTGCATCGCAGTTGCTACAGTTTTTACCCCCGAGGTGGCCAAAAGTGGCACGGAAAAGGCGGTTATTTTCGAATCCCTGAAAGCCGTAGCTGGGATTGTTCTTGGTTTTCTTTGTTATTTTGGGGTACTTCTTGAACGCGCCTTCGAGGATCTCGGGAACTTTGGAATTTTCAAGCTCGTGCCTGGCCTGGATCGCTGCGAGGGCATTGAGCAGGACGGTGGGAGGTGCCGCCAGGTGCCCTCTTGGCTCCCTGGAATTTCCGGACTTTGCCTTGATCAAATCATATTGGAAGACTCCCCCGTGAATGCCCCCAGGTTGGCTCACGACGACATCTCCAAGGCGGATGTCACGGCCCTCGTCTGGTCTCGCAATTCCACCTCCAATGCCGACCATCAAGCCGACCTTGATTGAAGGAATGGAGGAAAGAAGGTCCGTGGCCGTCCCGGTAGCTGAGGTGGTACCATACAAGCCAGCAGGGAGAGACGCAATGACAATGTTGTGCTCCCCAATCCGACCCCAGGTGTAAAAGTTCTTGTCGTTTGGGTTTTTGTGGAAGTTGGTCGGCCGCGCGTGCTCTTCGTCTAGCATAGCAGCAGCAGCAACTCTCTCTATGGGGAGCGCAGAAATCCATGCAACAGTGTGGAGGTCGGGGCTAGCGAGGGCTATGTTGGGCAACATCTTTCAAGCGGACGGATAGTAGCGACAGGTGATATATAGACGGAAAGTAAGAGCTACACTGGGGGAAGTTGGTAGTAACGGGAGGTTGGGATAAAGCAAAGATGAAATGTAATGGAAGGGCGGCAAGGGTAAAGGAAGGACGAGATGTGTCGGCAAAAAGTTGGGCGAGCTCCGCGCCTTCAACTGGGGGGCGGCATTGGGTGGAAGGAGTTCTTTTGGGCTGAAAAGGCCAATAACCTGCCTAACTACCTGGTAGGTATCTGGTGCCTCAGAGCCCCGCTTGAAAGTGCACTTCTGTGAGGAGTGTGGAATGCTTATCATGCCCACCACACCACCTCTTTTGTCTTACATGTAGCCATCACCCACAACCAATCACACTGACTCTGCCTAGCACTGCTACCGGCACAAACTGGCTGCTAATGAAACACGCGCCGCCAACCTGTCCGAGCCACCGCCTCCGGCTCGGCGTTGAAACGCCCCTCACCAATGATGGCCGCCCACACCACGTACAGATTCATCTTGTGCGCCCACAGGTCCGCCCACGCGCGCTTCTCCAAGTCGCGGCGACCGAAGCGGCAAGCCGCGAGCGCCACGCCGTCGTTTTCGTCCTCCCTGCCCTCCTCGAACTCCTGCGCCTTGTCGTGCAGCACCACCAGGCTCCCGAGGCCGCCCAGGCGCAGCGGAGGCAGCCTGAATTCGCCGAGCTCCCGCGCCGTCGCGCACCTGCCGCCCCCAACGCGGTGCCAGACGCGCGCCAGCTCCGTGGCGTAGGGCGCGTCCATGCGCGGGATGGGGTCCCCGTCGTTGGCGAAGGCTAGCATGGTGCCGAGCTGGAAGGGGCTGCCGGGGAAAACGGCGTCGAGGCGGGCGTTGACGTCCTTGTCGAACATGGGCGGCGCGCCGAATGTGATGGAGGAGAGGGTTGGGTTGGCCGAAAGGGTGCCTGTGGCTGTGTTTGCTATTGTTAGTCTCCTCGCTCGTGCCTTGCAAGCGTCTGCTCGGGGGGACGTTTTTTGGCTTACCTAAGGATTGTTATGTGAGGAAGTGGCAGAAAAGCAAGGAGGCCACCGCTCCCCCAGCAGAATGACCAGTAAAGACCATTTCGATCTCGCGGTCTTGCGACTGCATCTCGTTTAGGACTGCTTCTATCTGTTGTTTTATGGCGGGTGCTAAGGTCATGGCACAGTTGGCGAAACCGCGGTGCACTTTTGGTGCCGGGGTTGACCTCGATTCGGGGATGTTCTTGAGCACGCAAGAGACAGGAAGTCAGTTCCATGGCCGTTGCGGCGTCGAACAAGCAAAGTAGAACAGAGCGCATACCACCAGTTGCGGACACGGAACCAGGCCCGTGTCCAGGTTGACAAGCCAGTCGACAACACTCGCACTTCCTCGCACCGCGACCACGACGAGTGTGCGGCGAGACTTCTCATCCGGGGTGACTTCGAATATGGCAGCCGCTTTCCCCAAGCCCTCGGCGGTGGGGTTCATCCAGCATCTATCCTTGATGACGAAGCCAGGCAGCTGAGGTTCGGCTTGTGCTGGGTTCTTGCGATAGACGGCTCGGGCGCATAGGGCGGCTGCTTGGACGAGCAATGCCGTGCTTGCATCGCTAAAAGGATGCTGTTGTCAGTCTATCTGCCGCCATATTGAAGACGCTTGACAGCTGGGAGAGCTTGAGCTAACGTTTGCCATGGTGTATTGGCATCTTGTCTGGGACAGGGCAGAGGTCCGAAACCATGTTTCGTAAATTGATCTTGCGCTGTCCCATTGCGATTTGATCTTGGGTCTCGTTTGTGAGCCCTGGGTGGGATAATCTTTATCGGCATCGAGCTTTTTCTCGAGATCGGGGTGGAAGCAGACAAACCGAACAGTGCTGCATCGTTCAGGTCGTCGAGATCGTCAAGCATCTTAGCAACCGTTGCTGAAGCCCCTGCCAGCGTGACAGAGCTAGCAGACTCTGCCAGCGGGGCGGAGTTCGCCAGAGAGTGCTGCGCAACCGACATTGCATTGTTGCGATATATGATGAAGAGGGTCGACAAAGCACAGCGTAGGTTTTTGGTACCAGACCACGGACCGAAAAGATGCGCGTACACTTGAGATTTATTGAGGTTCCGTTATTTCCGGCCCCGATAGACAGACGTATCCTGGAATCTGGGCCTTCCGACTGTCGGGCCCGAGAGTTGCACGAACCCTAGGGTATTAATGGAAGTCAAGGCGGCTTTTAGGCCCCAACTCGGCTTGGCCACACGTAAGCACCCGGAATGGCAGACGCCCGGTAGATCGCGGCACAGTTAAAACGAGGCGCGGGTTGGGTGGCCGGGTGGCTGGCACGCTGAGCATCCTGTCGAGTGTGCGGTTGTCCTATCGACCCGCCGATCCTCCGGGGGACATTCTGCTACCTTGGCGGCCAGCAGGACAGCCAAAGGGGGTAGGATGCACCGTGGACTATTCCCGCGGGCTTTGGTAGGGCTGCGCCGCCTCATTTGGCAAGGCGAGTCTTTTTGGCCTGCAGAAATTGCAGGGCGCATTTTCTTCCTACGCACTTTTGTGCAGGGGTCCTACGCGAGATTGTTCCCGAGCACATTTAAACCGCTTCTGTCCTGCTGTCGCCGTCATGGAGTAGGCCTGCATGTGGTAAACACAAGTCCTATGGGTAGTCTGCAGGCCCATCGCCCTTTTGACCTTCCAACACCATGCCTTCGGCTGCGAGCGCTTCTACCAGGCTACCTTTGACACCGGGCCAAAAGTTCCGATGGCAGAATTCAGTCTCGGCCTCACACGACCAGCTCGTGCAGTCCCTGTCCAGGCTGTACTGGCTTGGGATTGACCGGGACCTCGACGGGATCCTCCGGACCCTGAACATGTGGGGAGATACCCCCGAGCCGGCGGCGGCTGACTTGGAGCCGCGGGATTGGCTTGGGTTTGAGGCGTTAGTTAAGCGGGCCACGGGCGCAAAGTCGACGGATCCCTCGTAGCCCCCTTCTCCATGCTAGGCCTCGCGTGCGCATGTGATGGATGCTCACAGGACGTGTTTCGCGTTGGTTGTTTAGTGCCCTCGATATACTGGATCAGATTTACGCGACGAGCTCCGAGGGGTTTGCCGGGCGGGAGCGGCTGGCCCAGCTGCTTCTGCAAGGCGCAGGTATGCTGGACATAGACAAAGGTGAGTTGGCAAAAAGATTACAATCCGTGCTTGAGACCTTATATCTGACCAGACACCACAGTGATGGAGTACAGAGAGCCCGAATATCAGCTTGGCCAGTGGCTCCAACCACGGGCGCCGCAACGTATGGCACAACCAAGCTCAGACAGACACTGTGTTCACAGCTAACAGTCCCCCAATCCCGTAGTCGAGGCAACCTCCCCGAGAGATCCCAGGGAACCCGTCGACTTTGTGGCCCTAGAGTGCTCCAGCTGCGAGAAAGCCATCCAGGGCAGCCACTTCGAGTGCGTAGGAGATGGCTGCGCCTGCACCCACACGCACGGAAGAAGCGTCTTCTGCGAGACTTGCTCGCGGGAGCCCAATAGCAAGCACCGCCCAGACACCCTGCGCAAAATCCACAAGAGGTGTGTCTTGTCGGACTGCCTATCCGAGGAGGCGGCGCAAAGGGCGTGTCGGTGCCCCGGTCTGGGGGCTCCCAGCAAGCCTGACAACACCACATACAGTAGTAGCAGCAGCAGCGGCCCAGGCTCCGAGCGTCCCCAGCGCCCGCTCTTCCCCTTCGGCGCCGGCGACCGCGACCGCCACGAGCAGACGTGCGCGCTGGCGCGGCTCCGGCGGCGGCACGAGCGCGCAAAGGTGACGGAACTGCAGCGCCTCGGGATGCTGGAGGAGACGCCGGAAGGCGACGGCGGGGAGGCGGGCGGCCTGCCGGCGTTGGCGGCGGCCAGGGCGGCAGTCAGGGCGGCGGTGGGCGTTGCGTCTCGGGCCGGCGCCCGCGCGACCAAGGTGGCCGACAACATCCCCTACGGCAACGTGCACATGAGCCTCATGGTCGGGCCGCTGATAATCGAGAATGGCGTTCCGCAGTATGTGACCCGGGCCACTTCTGCCTTTTATCCCTTCATACACCGTTTGTACATTGACTCGGCTGGATGCAGCAGCTTACTGACTTGTCACCTGCTCCTGCTAACTCAGATCCAAGGGCGGGGTACTGTTCTCCATCTGAGACCGGCTCTAGCTCCATCCTGTGGACACGCCCACGAGCTCGGTGAAGCAGTGCTACGTCCCGAGCGGTAACAGGTCGTCCCTGTGGTCCGCCAAGGAGCACCTGCCGAGACACCGGCGGGTCAAGGCCTTCATGAAGCAGGTCGTCGGCAGCCCGTTCTGGGGCGTGGGCGGGGCCTCGGACACTTCGATGGAGGCCAGGATCGTCAGGGCCGTGGCCGAGGCGAGCCTAAAGTACGCCGAGAACCCCAGGAAGTCGGCCCGGTTCAACGAGCAGAGGAAGGCGAGCCTTAGGGGCAAGATCCTGCGCGACATCCAGACCCTGCTCCACGCGCGGCTGAGGAGCTACCTCCGCGCCATCGCCGGCCGGCTTTTGGACCGGGAGGTACCGCTTGGTCAGTGGCATGATTTCCCCATGCTATCAGCTTTTCACGAAACAGAAAAAGCTAACCATAGACTTGAGCCTCCAGCGTGGCACATCCTCGACAACAACTGCCAGCGCTTCTGTGACGCCATCATCGACCGCCGCGTCTTCGGCAGCTTCATGCTGCACAGACGCAACGAAAGTTGCGTGACGAGGTGGGGCGTGCCCCCCCTCTACCTGCTCAGCTTCGTCAGCCGCATCGGCTGCCACGACGGTTCCCCAGGCGCGTCGTGCCGGCCTCGAGGGACGCGGCGGCCAACCGCCACACCGAGGAGTTCCTGCTGCGGCACCGGCGCGTCGGCCACCACAACGACACCGACATCGTCGACGGCCTGACCGAGTACTGGACCGACTGGGGCGGCTTCCGGGCCCCCGTCTTCCGCCACCAGGGCCTCTTCCCCTGGGACTGCACCGAGGCGCGCACGGCCGCGGACGAGGCCGAGGCCCCGCAGGTCCGGTGCGGCGACCGCAGCCTCGCCAAGCACCTGTGGGCGTTCTTCCCCTTTGACGCCTGGTCCGTCGTGCAGCTCCACCTCTGCCGGGGAGCGGCGCTTCTACGCCCCCGCCTCTTCTGGAGATGCCGCGGCCGCGGCGCAGCTGAGCCTCGACGGATGGCGGCACAACAGGCTCGGCGTGGTCGAGGCCATGCGGGCGCTCGGGGGTGGTGGCCGTGGCCATGCGCGCGTCGCCCGTGTTCCGGCACGCGTGCTGGTGGAACTTCGCGCCGCGCGGGCTCGTGTTCCCGGACGACAAGGGCGGCCGGCGCGCGCGCAGGCTGTACCTGCAGAGGCGTGGCCGGTTGGTCGTGCAGCAGCGCCGGCGGCGCTGGAGGGCGGAGAGGGCGGCGCCGCGGTGGTGGTGGTGGACCACGACCGCGTCAAGCTGGCGGGCGTGCACCGCGCGCAGCCGGCGAGCCACCTGTACGAGCACTCGATGCTGCACGACTGCACGGTCGCCGGCTGGGCAGACATGGCGCCGTGGGAGCAGGTGGCGGCGTACGTGGCGCTGCGGGACGCGCGGGCCGTGGACGTGGACGGGGTGATCAAAAAGGCGGCACGGGAGGACGCGAGCACCGGGCGCAGCCGCCGGGCGGAAGGGGGGCAGGACGGGTCGTCGCAGGACCCCGGGGGCGCCGCGCTTCTGGATCCGGGAGCTGCGTCGGCGCAGCCGATCGGGGAGGGCGGCGACGCGTGGGAGGCGTACGAGGCCGGGGACGTCGTCTTGGAGGGGCACGACTACTGCGATGGGCAGGGCACGTGCGACTGCGTGTGCGACGTCAACGCGGGGGTGGACTACACTGATGGCGGCGAGGCGATCACGGCCGACTGGTTTGTCCCCTTCGAGATTGGAGACGGCGACGGGAACGTGGGGGATGGGAGAGGCGGGGACGGAGGCGGAGATGGAGGCGGAGGCGTAGGAGACGGTGGGGGAGGCGGAGGAGGTGTGGGAGACGGAGGTGGTATAGGGTTCGTATTTTTCTCCATTGGAGATGGAGGAGGCGGTGGCGGAGGTGGTTGCGGAGGCTAAGAAGGTAGTGGGCTGGGGCAGATACCGTATGAAGCCAGGTTATATTGGTCATGGTATCAGTCACACAAGGAAGCGTTTCCTAGAGCCACAGACTTTGCTTTTCGTGGAATCTCAACGCGGTTTATCAGGCCTTCCTGTATCGAGGTGTGTCGTAATGGTCTATCCTGCCAGCCACTCAATGCATTTCCTGCGGCTCCAACATAAGAAACAAACAGACGAAAATCAAAGCCTGCCCTCCAACACCCATCGTCTAGCATCTAGATCTATCATGTATCATCTATGCATCTTTGGCGTGAATGACATGTTGCGGAAACGAGTTAACAATGCTGGGACAAAAGTTGGAAGTGAGTAACATCAATCCTCTTCGGTCAAGGTTCCCCCGATTATGTCCAGCTTTATGCCCTGCTGCTTGCACGCGGCCACAAACTCCTTGGGCACGGGGCCGTCGTCGCCCTCGACCGTGATGATGGACTCGAGGTTGCGCGCCATGATGTCCTTGGCCTCGATGGCGGTGACGAGCAGCTCGAGCACCTCGTCGTCGGTGCCGACCTCGTTGAAGAACTCGAGCGTCTCGAGCTCGGGCGGCAGGCCGACCGAGTGCAGGCGCGCGCGGTTGGACTTTTTGCCAAACAGCTGGTAGTCCCAGTTGACGCGCAGGGTCTTGAGCTTCTCAAAGTCGCGCATGCGCACGGCGCGGCGGCCGCCCAGAAAGGCGCAGTCTATAACGACGGTCTCGAGCGAGCGGGCGGCGGAGTGCAGGGCCACGACGTAGTCGCCAAAGTCGTCCGACGTCTCCTCGAGCTCGGGGCTCGGCTCGGGCAGCTGCGTCATGACGAACTCGCGCAGGGCCTCGGGGAACTCGAGCACGTCGCCGAGGGCGTCGTCGCTGAAGTCGCACTCGATCAGGTGCAGCTTCGTCAGGGCGGTGCCGTGCGGCTTCTCCATGTGGTCGAAGCCGCGGTAGTCGAGGCGGGCGCGGCGGATGACGAGGGTCTCGAGGGTCGGGTGGGAGAAGATGTGGATGTTCTCGCGCAGGTCCCAGTAGGCGTCGGCGGGGCACTGGAAGAAGAGGGTGCACGACTTGAGGCAGGCCAGGTCGAAGGGCCCGTTGAAGAGCGAGCCGACGCCGTGCAGGAGCGTGTCGGGCACGGCGATGTCGAGCATCTCGAGGTTGGACATGGCCGAGATGGTGCGCGTGACGCCCTCGTCGAGCCGCTCGTGGTGCCAGCCGTGCACGGGCACGTCGAGACTGATGTGCGAGACGTGCGAGGCGGGGTACTCGAGCCGCACGCCCACGATGAGCGAGCCGCGGCGCGGGCGCCGGCCCAGCGACTGGCTGAAGCGCAGGTGGTGCTCGGGCTTGTCGAACTGGATCTCCTTGTACAGCACCGAGTCGGCCGCGGCGTGGTAGTGCCTGTTGAGCCGCGACACGCTACACAGGTCGCGCTTGGACTCGGCGCCCACCACCTCGAGGATCCGCAGCAGCACCTCGCGCGGCAGCGCCGCCAGCCGGTCCGGCTCCGCCATGCCGCCGTTCTGACGGCTGCTGGCGGGGATTGTTGACGACGGCATGGGACGCGGCGCCGGCTGGTTAAAGATGATGGCCTGGGGGGTGGTGTGGTGGTTCGCCTTGACTGGAAGTGGTTGTGGTTGCGGTGCGGGAAAAGCAAGAGCGCGAGTTCCAGTTGGCATTGAGCATTGAGTCGCCCAAAATCAGCAGACTTGACGGCACTGGGAGGCACCAAACCCACCGCGCCCGCATCCCACATGCCAATCGCAGGGGTGTGTCCGCTGCGGAGAAGGGGAGGAGCTGCTGGGTCGGTCCAGCTAGCCGTTTTTGGTTAAAGTTGCCCCTCCTCCGGATTGTGGTTTTGGGGTGGTTTTGTGTTTGTGTTCCACCCTGACGGCGGCCTGGCCCGCTAATAACTCTTATCTTTTATGCACCCGCCGCGGCTCCTTGCTCACTTTTACACAGCAACTCTTCGCTCGCTGTCGAGAATTATTTTCCACCGTTACAGTCCGCGTCTGCGCCTCTCGTTACTCCCCACGAGGTGCATAAACTTGTCATACGCCTCCTGATCCACCCCCTCAACGACAGATTGGATGTTCCGGTGGACTTGGTCTCCAAGGCACGGATTTTCGAATTGCCCCCACGCGTAGGGAAACGCCCGACGACTCGGGTCCTGCGCCATGATCTCCTCAGCTGGTTTGGACGCCGTTATTTCTGGCCTCCACCAGGGCTCCCGGAACGGCGTCGACGACGGCACCCACTCAAACCGCCAGATAAACACCCGATTCTCCACCAACTCATCAAAGAACTGCTTCCATGCGTAGCCCTTCCCAGCCACCACATCATCCGCCTTGATGTTGGTGAACGACAGCGACATTGGCCGCTCAGCCCGGCCGACGAGAAACCTGGCCAGCTCTGCCCCGAGGAACATGTTGGACAACTCCAGATGCTCGAGGAATGGCATCGCGTCTGGGTCTAACCCGAGGGCACAAAAGAAACTGGCCTTGAAACCCGCCCGGATGATGCTGCCCAAGGGAGCATGCTGGGAGCAGCGGATTGTAAGGCGCCTAATCGATCGGATATGGTCCAAGAAGAATGTTTGGAGCCGATGAAGGAAGCGGTTGTAGTCGCGTGAGCCGAGCATTTCTGCGGCTCCGGTCCCGCCAAGCGATTCCCCATAGAGCGACAGCCGGAACTCCACGAGCCGTCCCAACAGCCTCTCCCAGGTGTCCTTGTGGTCAGGCGAGGTGCGGCGCTCGCCCAGGGGGTCGAGTGGCGGATAATTGACGAGGGACAAATGGCTGATGGAGGTGTTGCGCGCGAGCGCTGCCATTACGGCACGCACGACCATGGCGACACTGTTGCGCATCCGCACGACGCGAGGAGCTCTTCTGTCCCAATGGTTGCCGAACAGCATGAACGAGTGCTTATACCGCGCCGGAAACTCGATGGTGATGCTCTCAAGTGCAGGCAGTGCGCCTTCTAGTCCACCGAGAAGTGCCACTGCACTGGCGGGGATGCCGCCGTTTTCCGGATTGGCCACGGCGTAATACGCTTCCGTGCCTGGGGAGCAATCCCAATCGTAGTCGCAGTCGGGGTTGGTGCAGCCCAGAGAGCTCACGACAATCTTGAGGCGCCGTACAAAAATGCCATACCGGCGGGCTGCGAGCCAAGCCGAGTCGGCCACGCGCGTATCATCCGTGAGCACGATTGATCCAAATAAACGAGGTGCCACGATGGCTCGGAGGTCATGACAGGCGCTGCTCAGGCGCGCCAGATCCTGCAACTCGAGCAGGTCGAGGATCCCGTCGAACAACTCGCGGGGTAAAAACCGGATCAGCCACATTGTGTCGTGGTGGGTGGGACGTGTGGTTCTCCGGATAAGACAAGCGAGTCTAAGTAGACATTAAGGTGAATGGGGAACACGGTGAAACTGTCGCTGGCAATATGGAGGTTGCCGCGGATCGAGCCGTTGTTGACGATCCGTACCAGCAGATGGCCGGCATCACACTAGATCCACTGCAGGACCTGCGTTGGTGCAGTGCTGCAGTGGGTTTGTGGGTGGCTCGTGGGATCCGGATGGCGGCAGTGCCATAGGCTGAGCTGCTGGCCCCAGCCATCCGTGCATGCACGCTGGTGGGGCGCATTCAGGGCAGATGGTGGCACGCACCAGACTTGACAGAAGCATGCCATTCGATGAGTTACATGGCATACAAAGCTTGCGCAAGAATCGACTGGGAGGTACTAGAAGCGGGCAATTCCCCTGTTCTCGTTTGTTGATATTGCTGCTGGTTTTGCGTTCCTGTTGTCTATTCTTGCGGTTAGTTGCTGTGAACCTACTGTCAGGCTTGATAACACAGGCCTGCTCGTGCTCGGCCCGACACCTTCGCCATGGCAAAGAATGGTTCACGGATCCTCATATCACATATCATCACATTCCACACAATCTCATTCATCTTAAGCGGCCAAGAAACATCAGGTGGCGCAGAATCTTGCAGTTATCCCCGCCCCCAAACCATGGTTTTTATAGGGGGACCTTTCGCGAGGATACGTTTGGAACCTGGCTTTCCCTGACGGCAGTCTTGGCTTTAGTCGTTTAGCCCACTCTTGCTAACTACTGCCAACAAAACTCCTCAGTTTATTGGATGGCGATTCGATGATACAGTGTTTTTGTCGGCCCCAAGATTTTATGCGTGATTTTGCGACCCATAGAAAAGTCGTTTGCCTAACGAGCAGGTTTACATTTTTGGGGTTTGGGTCCATCTGGGTAATAACTTAAATTTTGGGTTTCGTGGGTTTCGTGTTTTCTTTGGGTCCAAAAGAACCCAAAACCCAAAACCCAGATTTGGGTACCTACTCATTTGGGTTTTGGGCCCTTCGTTGGACCCAAACCCATTAGTCTAGATAATGAGGACCCATTTGTGGAGTCTCGCCAGCCCTACGGGCAACAGCAGAGGTATTCTCTATACCTTGTTCGAGCTACACGCAAAGGAGATATTGACGCTCAGTTTACGGCTAGCGCTCGGCTGCGAAAATATAGGAGGAGCAGGCAGACCCTCCATCTCGTACGTGGCAGGGGTTGGGTGGCGTGGAGGATGGAGACAGCGCCGACACGACTTTCCAGACAATAATATTGGCACCCAGGGAGGGTCGTCGGGTGAATATTTGGCTCACCGTATCCGGTGGCATCCTCGCGGGTATCTAAAATCTGCCTTCACTGGAAATCCCTCGGATCGTAGGATGTTGTCGACGCAGCCTACTAATTATTCTGGGACCACAACTCCAGTCTTCCAACCTTCAGCTCTACCTCCCAGCTACCCCTCCGGGCCGACGGGCGAAATGAGGCCGACGCGTTCAACTCCTCGCCGGCTGCAGGGACTTTGTGGGTAAAGGTGGCCCGCGCAGTCGAAAGATCGATCTTCAGCGAGGCTCCAGCCTCGGGGCCGCCGAACTGAAGAAGGCTGTTACCGTTCGCTTCCCGAATCCCCCAGCCGGGCCTTCCCAAGATGCCCGGGAAGGCGTCTTGCACCGGCGCCACCTCGAAAACCGCAGCGACGCACACTTCGTCGTCGGTCGGGCAGATGTCCTCGATCGAAGCTTCGTCCTCCGCCCCGCGCGCCGAGTAGAACCCGAAGGTGAACAACTCGCCCGAGCTCCCGTCGGCCCTGCTGCCCCTGACCAGAAGTAGTGTCTCATCCTCGGTGCCGCGCATAGACTTGACCAGATCCCCGGCGACACCCTCGCCCGCAGAGGCGGCGCTGCCGCTGTCCCACTCCCACTTTAGCTGCAGGTCTTCGGTAGACTCCCCGGCTCGGCCCTGGAGGGAGGTGCGGAGCTGGGCGAGACGGCTGTAGGAAAGTATGCCGTCTCCAGATTGCCGACCAAGTGCGGTCTGGGCTGCTGGGGTTCCCGTCATGGACTGAGCAGGTGTCTTGGGAGGAGCCTTGGTGAAGGCCTCCAGAAGGAGGTGAAAGGGATTCAGGAGCGCAGGCTGCGACAGACACAGTTTTAGCATACACACAACACGAGAAGGGACGGGGGGAGAAGACTTACCGCAACCGTAGCCAAGACCCGGTCAAACATCTCGTAGTTGACGCCCGATCCCGCACCCCTCGGCGGGCCCGCCGCCCCAGCCCTCGACCTCGTGCGCGGAAAAGTCCCGCGCGCGCGCGTGCGCGAGTTGGCGCCACCGGCCCTCGTCAAACGGCAGCTTGGCGGCGGCGGCGGCGGCGGCGTCCGGGGCCGCGAGGGCCTGGAACAGCGCGCGGCGGCGCGACGTCATGTGCGCGAGGTGGTGGGCCGGGACGGCCCAGAACAGCGCGCGCAGCAGGCCGTCGAGCGTGACGCCGGCGGTGGTGGCATCGGGCTGGGTGGTGGTGGTGGTGGTGGTGGTGAAGGGGTGGGCGGACAGGCGGCGCAGGGCGCGGAAGAGAAGCGGGACCGCGGCGGCAAGGGCCGGGACGCTTGTGACCGGGTTGTTTGCGGCGTCGGCGGCCAGGTGGGCGGCGATCTAGGCGGAGAGGGAGGCCTCGGTGAGGGTCTGGTCCGGGGAGCAGATGGAGGCGAAGTTTGCGCGCAGGTTCTCAAGCGCGCCGGGCTCGCCGCTGGCCCTGATGGCGTCCTCGACCGCGCGGGACAGCCGCTCCAGGATGGCTGGGGCTTCGAGAAGGCCGGCCTGGCGCCATGTCTGAATTTTGTCAAGGTCGGCCTGGTTCGTCATGGTGTGGTGTAATCAAGTATAGAGATGAAATCTTGTCTGGGCGGTGTTTGTGTTCTGTGGGTGAAATTATCGTGCTCCAGTCTCATAAGTTGTTTCTTGTGCTGACATGCTGCCCAGCCACCACTTACATCGCCGGGCACTCAAAGTTCGACGCCAAGACCAACAACTGCAAGACCTTCTCGGACCACATGAAGAACTCGACCTAAGGGCATGGCTGCATCGCAGGAGCACTAGTTGTGGCTCTGCGTCTAAGGGTCAGGATTTCTTGTTAGAAGATGGGGTGCGTTTACCAGGCTGGGCGTTGGCGTAGCATGGTGGTTTCGTTGCATAGCAATGGGGCATTTCTTTTGGCATAGAATGGTGATTGGGTTGTCGGGTTTGTATTAGGTCCAAGTTCAAGGTTTTGTACTTCGGTAGTGGAAATTACGCTCTTAAATACAACATATCCCCTCGCGCAGTCTGGTTGTATCAGGTTGGCCTAGTTGGTGAATCGATGCATCTCAAGGCTGATGAATTGGCTGCGTTAGTGGGGTTGGCTTAAACATCATGGTGCGGGCGGCTGGAGGATTGAAGCGACCCAGCCCGCAGGGTTGCATGCTGTAAGGTCCAAATCATAATCACTTACTTGGTGGCTCATTGATGTGCTGACCGATTCTGGCCACCATGAACCGGCCGCTGCAGGAGCTACACCTCGACCCGATCCACAACCGCGTGGTGAAAACGACCTAGCTGAGACCGTTGACGCTCCCCACCCAGCCGGCTGTGAAAAAGGGCCAGGGCGTGGCAAAGGTCGTGCTGTTTCGTCTGTGCGTGGGTTGGGCGCTGGTGCCATCATGACATCACCCGCTGTTCCAGCAGGCGGGGTGCGGGGAGAGCCAACAGTGCCAACGCAGTACAATGGTAGAAGCTCGCACCACGATGCCAACCCCCCCAACGCTCAACCACCGGGTCTGTTTGCTTGCTTCCATAGCCAACCTCTCGGTCGGAATCCGTCCTCGGCGTCACAATTGCACCTGTCCAAGAAACGCCGACGACTGCAGAAATGCCCACTTTCCGGATCAAGCAGCTCCTCCCGCTGGCTGTGGGCCTCGCCTCCAGCGTGGCTCTGGGCCCCGACAGGCAGCACGTTCTGGGGCCAGAGCAGACTCAGACTGTCCAGGCGATCGATGGCAGCGGTGTCCACGACGAGTGAGTAGCCGAGAGTAGCATCAAGGTAGCTTTACTATCTCGACGACGAGACTAACCGGTCGCGTGTGACCTAGACTTCTCAAGGCCCAGATTATCCCCCAGAGTACGAGCACTCATCCAACTAGGTCCTGGAGCATGGCCATGTGCTAACGTCTCCTTCTACCCCTTCCAGTAATCGACGACTTTGCCCCCGCCTTCCTGCTCCACGCCGAGTGGTCCTCCAAGACGCACGCCGAGCTCGGCAACGACGTACGGCCAGACAAGCTCGAGCCCCAGCCGACCATCACCCTGACCCCGACCATCACGACCAAGGCCTCGAGCCCGCGGCACAGACGCGACAGCAGCGACGGAGACACGGCGGCCCGGGCGGCAGAGGACAAGCAGTGTCCCGGTCCCATCGGCGCCGATGTCAAGTCCAACATGACGTACGCCATCGTGCTGACCGACCCGGACGCGCCGTCGTACCACGACAACAAGTGGTCCGAGTTCTGCCACTGGATCGCCACGGGCCGCGTCATCGTCACCCCCAAGCCCCCGCGGGGTCAGCAGCAGGGCGGCGATGGGGAGGAAGGGAGGGGCGGCTGCCCGCAGCTCAGCCTCACAGGCCTCGAGGACGTCGTGCCGTACAAGCCGCCCGCCCCGCCGAAGAAGACGGGCAGACACCGCTACGTCTTCCTTGCGTTTACGCCCGTCAACGCCACCACTCTGCCGCTCAACGTCACCAAGCCCGGCGAGAGGAAGCGCTGGGGCATGGACAAGCCCGGGAGCGGCGTCCGTGAGTGGGCCGAGGAGAATGGCCTTGCTCCCATTGGTGAGTTCTCACAACCTGATATCCCAGGGATCTGTAGGCCGTGGCTGATAACCGAGCCTTTGCTCCGCAGCTGCCAACTTCATATTTGCTCAAAACAACAAGCAGTGAGCACGGAAGAAGTCGCTGCCGTAGCTTGGACGTTGTAATGCGAATGCCGACAGGGGTTCAAGGTGTATTAGTAGTCCCGGGAAAAGGTCGTTGTGGTCAACAACACGTGTTTTAGTGGCGGGCCCAGCCCAATGCCTGCTTTGATTCTATCATGTCATTTTATTCAAGTCGTTTACTCTCTTCTCCTCCTGCCACATGGTTGGGATTCTGGAAACATTCTTGTAGACCCAGCCTCGGCGTCTTCGTTGTGCGGGAGGTGCGGAAACCACGCTTCTGCGATGGCGCGCTGCAAATTCGTCATGTCCCGAGGCCAGGCCGAGGCCACGTCAAGGTTGACTTCGCGTGCCACCATTATTCGGGTCAGCAACCTGCTCCTACTACCCCTGGCCACGATGCTCAGTGCTTCGGCGGGCACGGCAGTGGGAGTCGATGTGGCCGCGCGCTCGCTCTCAGGCACGCCGCCTGAGACCTTCCCGTGCTGACCATCATCGTGCATCATCCGGCGGACGAGATGTGACTTGTGGCGCCGAAGCGCCCCGGCATTCCCCATGGGCCCCAAGCGCTGCGGCGGTGCCGCCACCGCCGCCGTCGTCGCCATGCTCACCACCACATCGCTAGTCTGCTTGGACGAGAGAGCCAGGATCTTGAAACGCCAGCTAAACAGCGTGTCGCCCCCGCTCGTGAGGAGATCGGGCCGCTGCGTGTTCTCGGGCGTCCGCGGCTGCCCCTGTCGCGGCCTCTCGGGCGCGGATCTGCCGCTCGACCGCGGGGGCGACGCGAGCCTGCGGACGTGGCTGCCGGCTTGCTTCAGGGTCGGGATGCAGGCGCAACTGATTATGGCGCTGATCTCGGCGTTGGACCAGATGATAGGCTCGACTAGCTGGTCTGCAATGGAATTTTTCAGTGGTAAAAAGGAGCTATCAGCTGTGCCACTTGTGCTGTACAAAAATGCTGGTTTTCGGCCGAGGCACAGATGGGCATGCGTACAAGATATGCCTGTACTATTCGTCCTAACGGCCTGCAAGATCCTGATGACGGATATCATGCAGATGAACAGCCCCAGGGACAGCATCAGGATCACGCCAGCCTTTTTAGCGGCCGACATTTGCTGGAGCCGCCAGATGTAGGGGATCGGCTGGATGAACAGTATTAGGTTGACCGAGATGTTGCAGACAAACTGTTGGCAGTCAACGGTCAAAAACGGCAGTCAGCAGTCAGCAGACGTTTGGGGCGGCAGGGGGGGAGGCACCATCCGCGCGGGAGAACTTTAACACGTGACCTCATGCGTCCTCGAGGAGATGCATGGCAACACGGACGTGACCTAGCGTGATTCGAGAGCCTCACGGGCTGAGGGAATCTAGAACCGCACGCGTGCTGGGCGTCGCAGCCTTCCACTGCCGAGGCTCAACGGCGGTCGCCGCCGGCTGCCCCAAAAAGAGACCGGAACCCTGAATTTGATAAGAACGCACGGCTCCAACCAGGTCTTCCCCGAGAGGGTGGAAGCCAGCCCCCGGGGCGTGGTGGCGCCTCATGGGTGGTGTAGTCGGCCGAGGTAAGTAACCACGCGCGCGCCTATCTGATGGGCGAGTCGGACCCCGGAAAAAAATTCCATATGGCTGCAGGCACCCTAACGCTCAGCTGATACGTTTTGGGGAAAATGGAGGCGAGGATACGCCCGCCCCAGCTGAGAGACGCGGTTACGTGATGGGCTTGGTTTACGACCCGACCGACCGGTCCCGACAGAGAGGCTCGGATCGATCGGTTCTCGCCGCGTGCCTTGGCTCTAGCGATAAGTCGCGAGACTGCCTGCCCGGGCAGACCCCACAACCTTCTTCAGATCGCTAACACGTCGCGCCTCCCCCTGGAGCATGCACGACCGACGCACCCACGAGTCGCCCCAGCTCCGCGGACCCCTGAGCCCAGGAAGACCCTAGCCAGCGCCGAAGCCTGACTATGGCAGACGAACCAATTGACCAAATGTGCACAAAACACAAACGCTTGTGTCAGCGACACAATTGGGCCCCACTATCAACTCCGCGACACCAACGATCCGATCCGGTGACGCGGGGGGCAAGTGGCGACGGCGTCAAGCTGCCCCAGGGTCCGGTATCGCCCTCGGCGACGACACGTCCGAGACCGCCATCTCGTGGCCTTGTGGCCCGGCCCGGCCCGGCCCGGCCCGGCTACTGGGGCGCCTCTCTTGGGCTTTCCCGCTCTCTTTCGTCGCCCGGGACGAGTCCACACAGCACGGGAGACTAAGTTGGGTGTCCGATTAGAAGAAACTACGCTGCCTCCATCCATGCACGCCTCACGAGCCTCCGGTCCCGCTTCCGCCCTTCGCTTTCACGCTATGAATATTCTGCTTCATACAATGGATAGGCATCCGCTCGCCCCGGTCATCTGCCCGTATACATGGTGTCCGAGTAGGCAGGCTCCCGGTTCTAGTGGTTCGACTTTTGCTCAGCGTGGTCCGCGGCGCGCATCATCCAGCTCCCCCAAACAAGCGACGTGTTTATGGTAGCTCGCAGCCGCTCACCGCATTCAAGCCACCGACTGCGACCTACTACATGTGATGAGATGCTCTGGTTAGTTGCTGTGCTAGCTGGCTGTAGATCCCGTCCAGCGCTATACGAAAAGAATTCCTTCACTCCATGACACTTCCACTGCTCCTTGATCGTTCGCGGCAACTGGGAGGATGACACGCAGTAGGAACAGTTAGCAAAGACCCTCACAAACCTTTCCGTTCCATAACAAAGTATCAGTCAGTTAGCTAGTTACTCACTTGCTGCTAGTTGTTGGCTATGAATCACGTTGTGTTTGTCCTTCAGGGTTGTTTTGAAATTCTACATCACGCTCAAATCCGGTTGCCTAACCTCGACCCTCGTGGACCGGATATTCGATAGCAGCATCGGTAAGCTGCCAGTACATAACAGCAGCACATACCACTCTAAACACCATAACCATGTGTAGTTGGTGTAGCGGTTATAAGGGATAACGGCGCCAAAAAGGCTGCCGGAAAGTGTACAAGGACTTGTATAGCAAAGGTAGGTAATTAATTCCGCCCAATTGTTTCCTTTGAAACTTATACAAAAAGACAAATGAACCATAACAATAAAATTACAATATAACACCTACATGCTCATTTTTTGTCCCTATTTTACTTCTAAGTGAAAATTCGAACTTACCAAGCGGGGCAAATCCTCACCAATTAATAGCAGTTGAATCGCTCCTTCCATTACATCAGACGTAACTTCCTACAATCGCCTGGGCCAGGTGACCTGGCTAGATACGTGACTCTTACCGCCTGCGTACGTATTCAACAACTCCAATCACTCCCCACCTTCATCCATTTCTCAACACTAGCCACCTACCTATCCACCTACCTACACTACTACTTTCTTAACAGCAACAATCACTCGTCGGACACAGACAGAGCAGCCCATCACACGGACAAACCTCACGACATGGACGACTCGCACGGAATCGGCAAACCCGACCAAGCGGCCGTGCTGGGCCTCCTGACGGGCGTTCTAACGTTCCTTTCGGACGCGGCATCGGAGGGCAGTCTTCGGGGGGACAACAGGGAGCCCCTGGAGCAGTACCTCAGCACACCCCTGGGTCCAGGTCTTATTCCCGACAAAGATGTTGTTGGCAACAAGGAGGCGGTCAGGCTATGCGCCGCTCAGATCCTCATCAACATGTGGTTCGCCTCACCTGGCGGGGAATCGACCGAGGTGCTCGTGGACGCCGTCGACAACCTGATCGACCTTGGCATACAAGTTCCCGATTTCGGCAGGCATTCCCGCAGGATCCTCGCCGCCCTGGCTGCCGAGGCTGAGGGAGCCCGCGAGCGTGCGACCGCCGCGAACATGGCCGTGCCTCCGGACATGGTCAGCGGCGACGGTGTGAGGGCCGCCATACTGAAGTCACTGCTTGAGGCCGTGGGCAGTAAGTAATATCAACATCGAAGACCGCCCCAGGCAATTCAACAAAATGCAGCTTGGGGTTTGGAATGCTGTGTCTAGTAATTACATCACACCAGCGCTAACTCTTGTGTTTGTTTATCGCAATCCTTCAGCCATGGACAATCTGGAGGATGAGAAGACGGTCAACATGTTTGAATTCGTGGCCGGTATCTACGGTGTCAGGAACCCCGACCACGATCCGCATCATGAACGCGACCTCGGCATCGCCTACGAGCCTCTTCTGAAGTGCATCGACATTGGCGTCAAAAAGGTGCTGGAAGACACTGCAGTTTCACAGGTGGGCGAAGTTGCGGCCGTGGCCGTTGGGGCTCTGTTCACCCGCCCCGTCGTCGAGATCATGTACCGGAGGTGGAGTGGCCACGCCGACTCCCGCTTCGAGCGGTGGCAGACGCGCTGGGCCCAGATACATGCTCATTACCCCGCGGAGTCTCTGCAGGGCCAAACCGCCAGTCAGGTTCTTCGGCGTATGAGGGTGGTCCGGTAGCAGCCCAGGGCCCAAGACGTCTCAAAATTGTTGACTGGAGGTGCAGGGATGGGGAATGACGGACGGATTTCCATGTGGAAATGTGGGAGAGGGTTGGAGAAGAATGCATCCAGAAAGAGATAAAGCCAGTCTAGAACCCGTTGCCTGCTTTTAAATGCCATGTTTGTATGTCTGGTCCGTCTGGTCCGTGAGATCCGGCTCCATTTGTCGGCTGCGCTGCTGCAACTCTCACGACAGCATTTTCGGCGGGTCGAATGTCGTTGCGACGCGTAGGGCTGTGGAGACTGGCGGCTCATCGGCAATAATGCCAAGACTGAGCTGGTGTCGGGAAATCCGTGATTAACCTGGCCGGCAGATGCGGCATCGACCTTGTGTGAGTGGCGGGTAGGGCAGAGAGATGGGAAGACGTCCAAAGTCTTTACGAGGTGCCGAGCCGAGGGGCGGGAGCTGCCCGATTTGAAGTCTTGGCGGCTCCAGTGCGGGCGCCGAGCTGACGTTGGCGGCTGATGGGCGTCGTCGATAATTCAGGGCGCTGGTTCCACCCGCAAACGGCCGTCGTCCAGTAGGCGCGTCGGGATTACTCAGGCTCGGGGGGAACGCGGAGGCAGGTTCGAGAATCCAGGGGCACTGACCTTGTTTTCTCCTACCCCATCGTTGCATGCGGCTCCGCAACAGAGCAGTGGATCATGCGGCCAAAGGGGTTCCTGAGGAGACCCAGGAGCACCAGAACGAGGACTTGAGATTACGCGTTGCATGTAAGCAGTAACGGACTCGTGGGCGTGTTTCGTTTCGCCGTCGCTGATAGGAGGCGGCTGGCGGCGATGGCTCCCAACCCCCATGGGGGGACTTGTGGGCGAGCGGACAGCCTAAGGCGGGCTGCAGAGCTGACTCGGACGCGGCCTGACGCCAAGATAGCTTAGGCCCAGCAAGCTTCGGCCCGCTGTGGGCCGCAGCCGCAGATCTCCCTCGCTTGGATGCTTGTGTTGCCTACGAGAGACGGCGTCGTGGAGCGGCAACGGCGCAAGAGGCCAACGGTTGGCCGCGTTGGACGCCGGCTCATTAATATACCAGCGTAAATACGAACGGCTTTACCGACGCTAGGAATTAGTAGAGCCGCGGAACGGCACTAAGACATCCTAGAGCTTGCGTGTGTCAATCTCGAAGGGAGAGGCCGAAAGAGGCACCCAGCGTGGGGGCACCAGATCGGAGGGGGGCTTAGGACTAGCAGGGACTAGTAGGCAAACAACGGCCCGACGTCGCTGACGTCAAGGTCCGTCCTCAAACCACACAAACCACAGTCGGGCTCACTCCGCAGCTGCCGCCAACCCATATCCGACCGAAACGCCGCCGAAGGCAATAGGCATCGACAGCCTCAACCAGTCCTCCATCCTGTGGTCCAGTGCCTCCACCAAAACGCCGATTCATGCTGCGATTCGCTATCTCTGGGCACCATCTCGCGGCGCTTTACGTGACGTCCCAACACCTCACCGCCCGGAATCCAACCTCCCTGTCTCGTCCAGGATATCAGCCTGAGCCAGACGGGCCTGCGGCTCATCGAGAATAGGTTCGTCCCTGCCCAAGCAAGGTCCCGGCTGACCGGCAGGCGGGCGTCCAGGGGCCGCGACCAACGAGAACGGAGAGCGGTCGCATGGAGGCAATCTCCAATGACTAGTGCTACTGCTCGAATGGGCATTCTTTTTTCGCCATGCACCATGCAGGATGAGATATCGATGCAGGACCCTCCACAGCACGCGCGGGTGACAAGAGGTTCCCCCCGGCTGCGAGCGCCGCTCGTGCGGGCTGCAACCGTCCGGCCGCTGTCAACAGTCTACCTGTCAACCGAGAAAATTCGCGCACGCTCGTCGTGTATAAAGCATGCGGCTCCCGGTCCTGCCGTCGACAGGAATACCTCGGCTCTTCACCTCCCTCCCACGCCTCGTCCTGGGTAGACATCAGCACCTCGGGCCTTGTTCCAACCTCGACACGCCGACAGCTACGAGACATCTCGCAGCCAGGCCATAACAAGGTCGCCTCCGTGCCCGCGAATATGAAGCTTCTTGGCCTCGGTGTTCTGGGCGTCGCCCTCGCGGCGCCTGCTCCGCAGTGAGTGTCTCCCACTTCTGTTTCCCAGATCAGGACCTCGTGATGCTAACCAAGAACCGCACGCCAGGATGCCTGCCAACTACGGCCAGAACCAGGGCCCCGTCGGCGGTATCACCCCGCCCCTGCCCACCGTCAGCGAGCCCCGCGGCCAACTGCGCGGCGACCTCAGCCTACAGGGCGGCATCGCCCCCCGGCCCAAGGTCCACGGCGGCGACTCGGCCGTCGTCCCGGACGTGCAGAAGGTGGCTGGGCAGGATGCCGACCCCAAGCTGGGCGTCTTCCTGGACTTCAACAGCGTCGAGAAGCCCGAGCCCTTCAGGGGCGAGCGGGGCGCCACCGATCCCGGGCCGCGTAGGTCTACCCCATATCACTGAGGAGCTTTTTCTTGCGGGGGTGCCATGCTAACAAAGCCAACCTCGATGTTTCGCAGGTACCTACGAGTACGAGAGGCTCAACCCGGACCTCTTCGCGCCCCCGACCTCGGACAAGGGCGACGTGCCCCTCTCCATGTGGCCCATGAGCCTGAGCCGCAACAAGCTGGGCACCGGCAAGAACTCGGGCTGGGCGCGCTAGCAGAACACGCAGGTGCTGCCCGTGGCCAAGAAGATGGCCGGCGTCGACATGCGCCTCTCTCCCTGGGCGTACCGTGAGCTTCACGTGAGTACCCACCCACAACACCCTCGACTGGCGCTTGGCATGCAGCCTGACAACAGCCTGCTGACAAAAACACACTTCTTCTCCTCCAGTGGCACACCTCGGCCGAGTGGGCCCTGGTCCTCAAGGGCAGCGTCCGCGTGGCGGCCATGAACGAGGACGGCGAGAGCTTCCTCGACGACGTGACGGCCGGCGACGTCTGGTACTTCCCGCCCGGCATCCCGCACAGCCTGCAGGCGCTGGGCGAGGGCACCGAGTTCCTGCTCGTCTTCGACGACGGCGCCTTCTCCGAGGACGAGACCTTCCTGGCCACCGAGACCTTTATGCGCAACCCGGAGTCGGTGCTGGCCAAGAACTTTGAGGGGCTGGACCTGACGGCGCTCAGGAACATACCCAGGGAGGAGCTCTTCATCTTCAACGGCAGCCCTGCCGACGAGGACATCTCCAAGGACAACATCACGGGCAGCGCCGGCGCCATCAAATCGCCCAACGCCTACACGTACCACTGGTCGCAGCAGAAGCCGTTCGAGACCCCAGGAGGCAGCGTCAAGATCCTCGACCCCATCACCTTCCCCGTCGCGCCCATGTTCTCGGCCGCGCTCGTCACCGTCCAGCCGGGCGCCATGCGCGAGCTGCACTGGCACACCACGTCGGACGAGTGGAACTTCTTCCTGCAGGGGTCGGCGCGCATGACCGTCTTCAAGGCGCCCTCGTCCTCGCGCACCTTTGACTACACGGCCGGCAACGTCGGCTACATCGAGGCGGCCGAGTGCCACTACATCGAGAACACGGGCACCGAGGACGTCATCTTCCTCGAGGTGCTGCAGGCGCCCAAGTTCAGCGACATCAGCGTCAGCCAGTGGCTCGCCCTGACGCCCTGCCAGGTCGTCAAGGACACCCTCAGCTTCCTGCCCGACGCCATCCTGGACAAGCTGCCCAAGGATAAGACCCTGATCAAGGTCGGCAACAAGAACATGACGGCCATTGCCGACGGTGGCAAGTCATAAGTGTGAGGAGAGCTAGGATGTGATGTCCAAGTGGAGCATGGGCTACCTGGGAAAAAACACCCCCGGCCGGAGCAGAGCACCCTGCCACGGTGCGCGAATGGCTTGCTTCTAGAGCCGGCCACAAGCAGAATAGAGTACAATGATAATGACAATGATAGACGCCTCCCTTTTTCCATTTGTTACAGCCTGAGTGTTGGAATAACTCACCCGGCCCGCGTAGCAATGACTTTCTGATGAAGTTGGGCAACATCGAGCCTGGCCACTTGTAGAATGGCTGCTGCTCTTGACGAGCCACACAGCGCGGCACCTCCAAGAGCCACGTCCCTACTCCACCCCTGCCAGAGAGCTTGTGACGCAGTCCACCTACAGGATGTGACGGTGCACTGCCGACTGTCCAGAGTTGCTTGGCATCATGTGGGAACCATCTCCATCAACCTGACACTGGAAGCCAGCCACAGCTGCATGCAAGAAAACAATCGTTGGACCGCTGTAGCTGTAGGTGTGGACCACGTCACATTGGTGTTTGGGGAGGGCGTGTGTGGACAGGTAAGGGAGAGCGGGCGTGAAGTACGCCTCGTGAAGTGTATAAACATGGAACGCCCAGGGGTACAGGCGGGTTGACAACAGGATGGGAAGCGGAAATAGAAAAATGGCCTCAACCGCCTTGTCGCTAGGTAATTGGGTACCTTACCTACCTAGGTGGGGACATCTCAAATGGCCTCACCAAATCTACTGGATCAGAGGCATTCGAATTGGCCTCACGAGGCCGAGATGGCTGCTAGGCGTAGCATGCGAGGCCAATTTAGGGCCAGTCGGGGGGCGTAGTGTGCGCCTCGCGTCCCACTTGCTGATTCTGTTACCTCCTTACCCCATGGTTCGCCGCTGGGCGCGCGACCGCCAGCTTGTTGGAGTGCGAACAGCGCATAATAAGGCGACCAGCATGAGACGAACGGCAAAAGGCAACCGGCCATAAAGACTCACCGCGACTAAATGGTGGGCGCCAAGGACATGTGGGAAGGCTCTGTCTTCGACATGTCACAGCCAGCCTTACCAAGTTTAATATGATCTTCCTACAAGTATAGCCAGCCTGACCTACTTTTCATAGCCAGCCTGCCTTACCTCTTATTTCCTCTCCCTACCTACATATAACCTCCGCACCCCTCACGCTGGTGAACGCTCATTTCTAGTGCGTTTCCATAGACTGACGATTCCTCCTACCACTCTACCTTCGCAATGGCCCCCTTTCGAACTCTCGGCTGCCATCATCACCACCTTTCCCCTTCTTTGCTGGCCTTCCCTTCTTCCCATCACCACAAATCCCAACATGAGCTTTGTGCACCGGCACCTGATCGGTCTCCTCGCCACAGCGACCGCACCTCATCCGCGCCGTGACTTCCGCATGGCACGACTTCATGTGCCGATGATAGTTGTCCTTGCGCGATATCGGCTTGCGGCCGCACCAGCACTGATATGAGTACGGCGAATGCTGTGAGCGACAGTGTCGAACGAGATCCTTGTTGCTCGAAAAACCTTTGCCGCAGTCACGACACTGATGGCGCTTTTGAGCGGATGGCGGCGGTGTTGGGGACAGGCTACGCATCAGATCCAAAAGGTGAGCACTCCAAATGATAGACACGTGTCCTACACAGACGAGGTCTCGGCAGGCCATCATTTTGGGGTGCAAACTTACGTGGACCTTGTGCTTCCTGGAGGTACAGCAGGCGCCTCTGCGTTGAGAGGAGCGCAGAGCAGCTCCAGTGGGCCTTCTGTCGGAGCCGCGAGTGGGGCCTGCGCGAAGGCGGAGTTTGTGTCGTTGAGTGGCCACCGCCCGATTTGCTGGCTTTGAGGGTCGTTTACGTGCTGGGGGCTCATCAGATCGGCGACTCCCAAGAACGGCTCCATGTAGGGATCGAGCGCCGCCCCAGCGGGGTATGGGCCCAAGCCGAGCTGGCTGCCAAGGTCAAAGTGCGGCGGTGGATTCCCAACGCCGCTGTCGGGGTCAGGATCGCACGGCCACAGTCCCGCAGGCCACATTTGCTGGCCTTGGGCATCGCTCACGTTCTGGGGCCTTGTCTGATCGGAAGCTCCAAAGAGCTGGTGAAACTGGTGCAACCTAGGCTCCTGTATTCCGCCGCCGTGGGGGTCGTTGCTGAAGAAGCCGCCCATGTGCACGTCAGTGCCTTGAGCAGCGTAGTCTGATAAACAATTAACAAGCCATCCGTCCCCCTGCGACCCCATTTCTGTCTCGTCCATTGTTGTAGGTTTGGCTTGTCGTTTGGCAACTAACACCTGGTTAGTGGAATAGCGTGTGCTCGACAGATACCACAGACAGCTAACAGTGCAAGTGGGATGACTGAATAGTATCGAAGCTTCGTGGAGAGTGTGCGGGTTGCTGTTTGAGCTCGAAGGATGCAAACGCAACGGGGGAGGCGGCGAGCTTAAAGATGTCTATAGCCGTAGTTTAAACTTCATCAAGTCGAAGCAGACCCCAAAGGCCTCGGGGAGCTCATGTACTGTTACCGAATTTGGCCTCTGGATGGCCTGAATGCTTCTCTTTGGCCTCAGTTGCAGCCACCGACCTGCTTTCCTGGACGCCTTGAAGTTGCCTCGTTTGGCGATATGCAGCAGGGCGTGCCCCTGGCGGAACGGTCGCCCAATGACATGTTCCCAGATGGAGCAAGGCAGACAGCCGCAGGATGGTGACCAATGTCACAATGCATGGCCAGATCAGCCAAAAACGAAGTAGAAAGAAGGGTGATGGACAATAAACGGCTGAGGCCAATACCATATCACGACGGCCGCTAAGAGGCTCTAATTCTTTTCGTCCCCCACCCCCCCTCCCTCCAGTTTCGCGGCCTTCTTGCCTAGAGGTATCCCAATTATGGCCTCGCATACGTGTCCGGAAGCATGTTCTTACCTGGACAGATCCTCGGTCAACATTCCCGGTTAAGGGGGAGAAATAGGATGCCAGGTGCCCAGGGAAGCGTCGAAATTTCACCAGCCTGGAACGCGAGTTTCGGTCAACACCAACATTGTATATTCTGCAAAGACAAACGCTACCTAGCCGGCGTGCCCAAAAAACACCATGCTTACACCGCAGGAAAAAAAACAAGACGCAGAACCCGACTCCAAAAACAACAACAAAAACCCAAGACGGAGGCGCCTACCCCCCCTGGCCTTCGTGACAAAGCATGCGTGCCACGGCTCAGCGATGCCATTGTGGAGCGCAGACCTTTCCGGGTGACGCACCTCCAGTCCGGGCGCCCTCTACTGCTCGAGGTCCCTCGCCGCCAGCTCCGGGGCGGACTCGTCGTTGGCCGAGCGCTTGCCCTTTTTGGTGGTCTTTTTATTCTTGGAGCTAACGGTGTCCTTCATGTAGTTGGGCTGCTTGGGCTTGTTCATATCCGCAGAGGTTTTTCCGGGAGGCAGGGGCAGCGGGTAAAGAGCGCCCGCCTCCTCAACCTCGTTGGAGCGTTTGCCCTTCTTGGTGGTCTTCTTGTTCTTAGAGCTAACGGTGTCCTTCATGTAGTTGGGCTGCTTGGGCTTGTTCATATCCGCAGAGGTTTTTCCGGGCGGCAGGGGCAGCGGGTACAGCGCGCCCGCTTCGTCGACCACCTCGGCCCGCTTGGCGACGGCGAGCGCCTCGGCGAGGCCGGGGGCCAGGAAGTCCCGCGCGACAAGATCGAAAGACGGCCGGTCGAGCGGCAGGGCCATCGACGGGATGGCCCCGACGGCGACAAAGGCCAGCAGGCGGAAGGCGTTGAGACGCATGGTGGGCGAGCTGGAAGGTCAAGACGAAAACAAATGTTGGTGTGATAGAAAAAAAGTTTGGAAAGATGACAGTAGGAAATAACAAAAGGAAATGCTCAGGAAAGTAAAAAAACAAACCAAAGCAAGAACAAAAGGAAAAGGGGATGGTGGTAAAGAGAAATCCCGAATCAAGAACTGGGCAGTCCAGTTCATGGGCTTATATACCATCCGGTCCGGGCAGATGCCCACAT